GACCAGCATAAACCAGCAAAGGACCAGCATAAACCAGCATCCCAGCGTCAAAACATACCTGACCAGCATATGCTGTTTTTTTCAACAGGGAAGGGCAAACCAGTTATTGATGCAGAGGACAGACAGTCAATGTGTGGGGTGAATTATAGTTTATTAGGCAATTAAAACGCTTTATTGAGAAATTTAAAACAGAATATCGCAAAGAAAACTTATTTAACATCATGGCTTTCAGATATAGCTAAACATTTTTGTTGAAGCAAATACAACCAGCAGACAATAATAAAAAAAAAGCTGCTAATAAAATGTAAGAAATCATATACTAATAAACGGGTAACATTTACTCAATAAATACTCTTTAAGTAAATACAAAAAAATAGCTAAGTAAAAGTGAAAACTAACTTGATTGATCTCACCCTGTTGACTTACAAGTAGGGATGCGTATAAGGTTTTAATGGTATTACTACTCTTACAATACTGATTATCAATCTGGTAATTTAAGGATCAGTAATTATTTTCTTTTTTTACATTTATTTGTTTATTTTTGTTACAAAAAATAGAACAGAAATAACATGGCTTTGTGATATGACATTGTAAAATAAATAATTTATAGGAAATAAATGTACCAGTGTAAAGGCATTATTAGAGGCATTCCCTTACGTAACATTTATGTAAGAAAATAATACAATAAGAAAACAGAAACAAAGCACAAACAAAATAACAAAAAAAAAACATACAAATGAAATAAACAATGCAAGTTTTTCAGTAATGTCTAACAGCAGTATTCAGGTAAATAATAGCCTACAAAAGAAACTGAATGAATGAATCTAATGTAAAATCAGTTTCAGACTCGCTGGCGTCACATGACAGAATCTCTGATTTTAAGGTCCTAAATGTGGACTCGGGGCCTCCCGTGTAATTCAGCTTCTTGGTCAGTTTCAGTTCTGGTCACGTTATCACGGTCTGATTCACTCTGAGATCCTACGATCGCGATCTACATCTTCCTTATCGGCCTTGTACTTTAATTGTATTCTTATCAGTTCTTTTTAAACAATGTTTTATTATATAGCTTTGATACTTCATGAAACAA